CATGTTCAGTCCAAGGGATATTTTAGAAGTAGGATGTTTGCTTAGCTCGTGCAACATAACTTCTGTGCTTGCAGGGTTGGATACGGACAGCAGCACACTTCCTTTGCAAGGTTCTCTCAGGACACAGAGGAACTCAGCAATTTTCCAATAAGAGTGAAAAGGAGTCTGATTTTAACAAGGAGAATCAGCAAATTTCCTTCCTGAATTAGGGAACTTAATTTGAAGAACATCTGGAAAGCTGTTTACAGGATTTTAGTAATTGTGAAAATAGGTGGACAATCCAGAACCTGAGTGAGGGGGTTTTTTTGTTATTTATTCCAAGGGGAGTTGTTGAATCTTTTTCCTGGTACTTAGTGGTTGCAATTAATCCCACCCAATGTCTGCAAAGATAAAAAGGAAAAACACTTGATGCAAAACAGGAGAAAAGGAATAACCTAAACTGTAACACCCTGTGGCACTGTATGTCAGAGCTAATCCCATACATTAGCATGCAGTGGCACCCTTAGGATAAGCTTGGTGAGATAAAGCTGCTCAGGAAGCAAGAAAGAGAGGCAATTCTGGTGCTGTTTGTTGTACATTTGATGAAGAGCTGTAGAGTTACCACTGAGTAGCAGAGCTATGCCTGACATTACTGTGAGGGTAAGTGCACATAACACTGGACTGCCAGCTCCTTGGGTAGGTAATCACCCCTTTCCTTGGAGGTGCAGCCAACCTGTGATTAATGCTAGAGAAGAAACTGGGCCAAATGTTGTGGTTACAATTATATTCCTTCCTATACTTCTGGATGTACTGATAAAAATCATTCTCATCCCAGCAGCATTTCCTGCTGCAGCCTGTGCAGACCTACAAAAGGTACAGAAAAGCCTTCTCTGCTCATTCCAGTGTCATTTCCTTCATCTCATCCAGCACAGATTCAACTTCTGGCTCCTCATATGACTTTTACTGCTAAAAGAGCATCACAAGATTAATTGCTCCTTGTGGTTCTCTGTATATGCTTGCAAAGGGACAGCATGGGATCCACTTGGCTATTTCCAAAGATGAATGCACAGAACTTGCACAGAACTGAAGAAGTTTAATTCTGGCTGTGTACCTCTACAATACAAAGTATAGAAGATCCAGCTTTTGAGCAAATGTGTTTTCTCCTGGTAAGTAATCTGCAAGTATTTCCATCAGAATTGTCTTTGCTTCTCTGTTGATATTCTGCACATCTATAGTCCAACTATATCTTCTTAGTTATATTTTAGAACTGAACTGGTTGTACAGTCCTTCAGTGGCTTATACACATTCCAGATCCTGATTAATTCAATCCTCCTTACAATAAAAGAGTACCATAATTCTGAATTGTAGAAAGGAAAAAAGGTGTATTTACAAATTACTGAAAAGAGGTTTTAAATAAATGCAACACATTGAAGGACCAGAAACACATAGGAGACAAAAAAGCTGTTCCCATTCCAGAAAAATATAACTGACCAAAATGAATGGTTGTTTAAACCAGAAGACATCCCAAGAAGCCAAGGCTCAGTGATGACACAAAACCCTTACAATTGCTATAAAACTGTCCTGATACAATTTATTTAGGAGAATCAGATCAGGAGAAGGAAAAGGAAATTAATCAGCATCCTCCTTAGAGAAAGTTACCCAAATATCTTCAGTTGCTAATTTTAATTAGTGAGCCTTGGAAAAACACTGAGTTTGTAGGAGTAATATACAGACTTAGCTGCAAAAATAGCTTCTTCTAAGTGACAGATCAGTGTGTACATACACACAGAGAGATTCAAAGAGCTGCATTTATCTGAATGTGGCTTCTATCACTTGCATGGCCAGCACTGCAAGTCACCTCTCCACAAGGGGTCTGGGGACTCCTGCTCAAACACCAATAATCAAAGTTCCAGGTCTCTGTTAGAAAGCCAAGAACTGCCTCCTTCTTCCAAACCTGCAGACTTAGTAGGCCAAAAAGAGCAAAACATACTTGGAAAAAGTCAGAAACCAGTAAGTAAAACTACGTGGTAAGATTTTACTCCCCTAGAAAGTGCTTGCAACAGTCCTGAACAACTACTTAGGCAAGAAATTCTCCCCTAATATTTACTCTTTATTCACTATTTGTTATCTTGAGTTAACAGAGCCAACTATTGGCATACATTCCCTCAGTTCCTTAAATAAATGCTAACTGAGCAGCAATGTTCCACATAACCCAGTTCAGAGTGTATGCCTGGTGCCAGCAAGGTCCAGTGACATAGAGAAACAGAGATGCTGCTCATCACTGTAAGGAGAAAATTCGTGTGGCCAAACCTCCACTGGACTTGAAGCTTCCAGAAATGTGAGGGACAATAAAAGTTTATCCAAGTATATTCATGGCAATAGTCAGTGTAAAAACAACATCAGCCCATTCCAGGATGAGGATGGTCACCTCACAAATAGGGACAGAAACAAGGCATAGGCATTTAATGCATTCTTCACCTCTGTCTTCAGCACCAGTGATGAACCAAGGGGTTCTTAGAGCCCTGAGCTGGAGGACAGTGACTGCAAGAATGATCAGCTCCCAATATACTCTGAAATTTCATGGTATCTGCTGCTCCAGCTGTGTCAGAATCTTTGGTATTGATGATTCCAAGATTGTAGAAAGTCTCTGTCTGTCAGCCCCACTGCCAAAGCAGAAGCCATAATTGGTCTGTGCTGGTTTCCAGGTTGTTTATTCTGTTTATCTCTAACATGTTCTGCTGCCCTGCCCAGCTCTGTCCTGCAGGGCAGCGTGTGGGGCTCTGCCCTCAGTGGGATGTTACAAACATTAAATACCAGAAACTCCCTGGGCTGGATTTACAATAACGTGCCAATATCTGTCACCTACGTTGAACAGTGTGTCCCCAGCCTAAACCAATAGAAAAATGCCAACACCACAGTGAAACATGGAGGGCATGAAGGAGGAGAAAAAGGACAAAACACACCCAATTTCCTCCATCTCGTCCCCTTTGGACCCCTAATCTAGAAACCTAAAACTATACTTTTGCACCTGTGCCACTGTGCCACACTTAATTACTACTCATATCAAACACTCAGAGCTGGTAATTCATCCTGTAAGATTGAAAACTCTTTTCCATGGACAGAGATCACAGACAGTGTCTCTGGGGGCTCTGTACAGGGGGTTCCTGACCCCTGCCAGGGTCCCAGGCCTTCCAGGGCAGCCAGAGGGAAGCCCTGGATTCCCACATCTCCCTCTCCTATTTGAACCAAGAACACTTCTTTGACAACTTTGTCCATGGTCTGCCTCATGCACTGAAGCAAGCACAGCACAAGCATCAGAAGAATTACAATGCCCTATAATTATATACAACTGTTTTCAAAATCTCCTTCTACAACTGTGAAAGGTAAAACAAATTGAACACACCATCCATCTAAGATTTAATTTTTCTCCAGGTGTGTTTTCTCTTATGATACCTCTTCAAATTTATCACTCTTATGTCCATGTGTTCACAATAGATGTTCAATTGCTGCTTTGTTCTCATTTCATATTGTTAGCTAACAAATCCAGCTGGGTTTTATTACATCACTACAATTGAGCCAGTTGAGTCCCTCCTATAAATGCATATAATTTGTCTAAAAGCAGAATTTTGAGACACTGTATTTGAAAAATTATGTTAATATTTAATATTAAATATATGACCAGCCAAAAAACCACAACAATCTAGAGGTAGTGCATAGGAGTTAAAAAACAAACAAACAAACAAACAAACAAACAAACAAACAAAAAAACAAAAACAAAAACAAACTGAAAAAAGCAGGTGGAATGAAGATCTTTGAGATTGTGAGTCTCAGGATTACACAGCCAAACTGTAACTGGTGCAGGGTACTCAGGGACAGACCAGGGGGAGGTATTGCTGATAGAGCATGACTCAACTAGTTCAAATAAACACAGAAAATGTACCAAGCATCCATTCTGACAGATTCTGAGAAAAAGAAAGAAAAGGAAAAGTACTGAAAAGCAAAGTAGCAATTCCTGTCAGAGTACACACCAAGAAAGTGTATTGCCCTGGAACTGTAAATGGCAAACCAGTGGAGGGTGGGGGACAGATATTTTCACTGGTAGATACCACCAGTCACAATATAGACCAGCATTTTTCCTGAACTGTTCACTTTCAGAATTAGAATTTTGTGGCAAAATAAGAGAGTAGACTGTTATTTTCTCTGTTCAATCCTCCTTTGAACGAAGATATGTCCTTTGATGGAATTCTGCTGCCATGGTTGCCCTTTCAGATTTCAGTTTAATTGCATAAATATTACAGGAAAACCAGCTATGCCTCTAATAAATGGTCTAAAATGAGCTCTCTGTTAATCATCTGACATCCAGAATAAAAGTCAATGTAGTAAGTAAAAGGGTATGCTCTGATGTTTGGCTATAATTCTGATTCATATAGAGATTTCATCCACAGCCTTCAAGATATTTTGGTCCAGTAAATCTTTAAGTGGTATTTGGCTTCTGTACTTGTTCTCAGCAGACCGAGTAGTCAGAGAGAAAGAGCAGTGTCTTCCAGAATACAAATAGTAATTTTTTTCCCATGGGAAAAAAAAAATATATCTTAGACTGTAAATTAGATATTTATCTCTTCTGTTTTAAAGATCCAAGTCTGCTAGAAAGCTGGCTTGTTTAGCTCTAACACCAGTAAAATAAAAAATGTTCTTTTCATTACCCTAATCAGGACAAGAGCCATGTGTTTGTGTGTGCATGCTCATGCACAATTCTGGAAGCTGCTGTACAAACACATGACTGTTTTATACACATACTGGGGAACATCAGTGTCTTAGCTGTGTTTGTGTTGTTTGCCACCCATACTAAAATATCGGTGGTCTCATAATGGATACAGTAGATAAACATTGTTTTTAAAATATAGTATGGGAGAAAATCCAGGAATATGATGTCATCAACAGAGCGATGAGTCTGCTGTGTTCAGGGAGGGGCAGTAAAAACATAAGTTAGACTCATTCATACTAGAGAAGGAGCTGTTCCCAGAGACGTGTTGCACTTCACTCATTTGTATCTGCTCAGTGGTGAATTTTCAGACAAGGTATGTTTTTTCATTTCTCTTTCATATGAAAACTTATTATTAAAATTTGGTGTGGTTTGCTGCTTCTTGGAAACCACTTATTGAATTCTTAATATGTTTCTGGTTCAGTGACAAAAGAGCTGTTATTATTTTTCCAGAAAAACGGAGGAGAAAAATAATTTTTGCTAATGTGATTTTGTAACTTATTGGGTTTTGCAGAACTATAATTTTTACAGAAAAATGCTTTATTTCAAAGTATCCAGGGTACTTCACCTGCCACAAATACTGTCCCATGTACTGGAGGGTAAGGATTTCTCCTCTCCAGATGACACTTCATGTCTGTGATCATACCATGGGCACCATTTCTGTAATCTCACAAAAATAATCAGATAGTACAAGCAACTAACTTTGGTTTTGGCTGAGAAATTACCTACAAAATTGTAGGGAGAAACCAGAGTAAATTGTTTTTTGTACATACTGATAATTTTTTCTTTGTTTATTATTTTGATTGTAAACTTTGTTGGGCAGGATGTAGAAGTGCATGTGTGTGTACCTTACACCACTAATCTGTCTCATCTGCACTGATTGAATGACAAAGGCTAAACCTTTGAAACTTTTGCAAAGGAGAAAGGTTTTGGAAGACATTTAAGCTATATTATTAGTTTCTTTTTAAAATCTGTATGCAAATAAAAAAATCAGTAGGAGCTTGACTTTTAAGGTTCTGATGAAAACAAAGAGATAGCTGTGGTATTGTTATTAAAATAACAACAACAACAAAAAAGATTGAAATATATGCTATACTTTTAGCTATTCATTTTCCATTACTCAGTATCCTAAGCAGCCTTCTTAGTGTAGTAATAGCAAATAGCCATAAAGCCAAAAGTGTTCAAATAGTTAACCAATAGAATTCTTCTTTTAATGTTTTGTTTGTAATCTTAGAGATGCCATCTCCTAAGACAGGAGTACACTTTTATCTTAAACAGCTGTATATATTTTCTTAGAATCTAGAAGACAGTTATCTAGGTAAAAGAAATATCTGTTTTCACATATGACTCTCTAAGACTCAAGTGTCAGCATATTGAGTAATATGAGTCATATAACTTCTACCTATCTGGTAGTGTGCAATCATTAAGAAAAAAATTAAGAGAAGTGTCTTAGCACTCCAGGTTCTTTTATAGACTTCCAAATATATTGGTCTTGTTTTCACTGTGAATAGTGAAAATACAAACAGAAGGTATAAATACACCCAAGTTAATAAAGACCTTGGAATAGCAGATCAGAGACACCTCCAGAAAGTCTTTGCCAGGTTTTCCATTGGGCCCCTGAGTACATGCAAGAACAAGATTAATTGAGTTAGTCAGTGTTACCTGAACATTTTGTACCGACAATCTAACAAAAGAACCTCCTTTCCTACTGAGTTAGAGCTTCCTGAAATAAGCATCCCATCCTTACACAGGAAAACAGCTTTAAAAATTCTTGTAGCTATTTAATATTCCAAGTATTTTCTCAGGCAGAAAACAGTAGGAATTTTGGTGAATTTTAGGGCATTCATGATGAACACCCTAAAACTTACTGTTTAAGAATGACCAGTGCTTTATAATCTGTTTTTCATTAAAAGAAGGGTGTAAAAAATCTCTTAGGCATTCCAATTCCACTGTTTTTAAAGTCACAGTAGGGGAAAAAAGCATAATACAAGTCTAGGAACACTTATCAGAGAACAGAGCTTTGCTTTCAAAACAAATTCCCTCTCAGTAACTAAAACAGCTGCAAAAGTACACCTGAACCCATTAGCAATGCTAATCAATGTAAAGTTTGGAAAAAAAAAAAAAAAAAAAAAAAAAAAAAAAAAAAAAAAAAAAAAAAAAAAAAAAAAAAAAAAAAAAAAAAAAAAAAAAAAGAAAAAAAAAAAAACCAGAAAAAAATGCCACTTAGCTAAAACATCCACTTTTCTTTAAAATTATTCATAAGCCTTTTTCTCTTGTCGCTCACAGTTTTTTAAACCTCCCTCTCAAGCACTCTGTACAGATGAATTTCCCCCCACCTCATCAAAAGGCTTATCTTCCTTCTTCCATTTAGCACCCTCCATACACAGAGATGGAAAGTTGTGCCTGTGCCTGGCTGATCCCAGCTGTGAAGGAACAGGGTAGTTCAGAGTGGAGAGGAGAGCTGTCCTTTGCCAGCCCTCTCTGGCTTTTAGGGACATGGATGCTGCTCAGGAATCACACCTGGGGCAGCCTTTGGGCACTGGCTCCCAAACGTGGCTGAGCCAACTCCTGCCCTCAGCTGGTGCAACACACCTTGTAGGAGTGAAATGTTGGACAACAGGCACAAATGGGATAGGGAAAGAGAAACACAAGGAGCAAAGTTGCCAGGTGAAAGCATTTATCTTCAGTCTGATGATAGGCAAGTCCAAAGCATGCTGCTGATATGGCAAAGCTTCTATATAAAACTTTACCAAAATCCTTAGGACTTTTGGTGATCTCTGAAAGAGTGGATTTGACTTACTTTTGCTGCTGTGCAATATTTAAGTCTCCTCCATGTTAACTCCTCGTCTTGATTCAGCAAGGTTGGGTTGGTTTTTGTGACCCCTGCAAACATATCTGATCATCCAGGTTTGCAGATTCAGTAGCTTTGCACACTAAGGTATGCCAAAATGGTGAGAGTATTGCAAAGACACAGTTCAGACTATGGTTAATTTGCAGAGAAGGAAGCTGTCAAAATGCAGAAATCCATTTTTCTCATTCATTGTATCTGAGATTACAGTTAAATGCCACCAAAAAGTGAGTGATCCATGGTAGAGAGCCAGGTCTTTTTAACAGGATTTATGCATGCATGCCCAGAGGCAGAACTGGTCATAGATGCTTTTCCTCCTGCAGCGTTCCTGCCTTAGCAGAAAGGAATAAGCCCTTTGGGGCCACACCCCAGTGTGGAGGTTCTGTCGCTTTGCCATGGTTGTAGGATTTCCTATCAGCTGTCTGACAGGCTGAAGGGCTGCTGCTCTGAAGTGTCACAGGTTACCAAAGAAGGACAGCAGGTCCCTCCACCCACACACACGGAGCACAGCAATGTGCCCCTTTCCTGATGTGAAGGATAAACTCCCTACAAGTAGTGGGGCAGGCCACCAATCTGGAAGTGTTTCATCAGGTATCCTGAGCTGTATACTGTAGTACTTGTTGTTAGATTTTGGCTCAGCTCTGCATGCACCTCTCACCTCATTCTGCAGCAGTCTTTCCCTATAATGTCATATTCTATACTCTGCATTATATTTAGATTCTGCTTAGATTAGAAGTTCCCTGAGGCACAGCCTGTCCCTGTGCTTGCAAGACTTTTGCACACTGATCATCCCCAAAGCCCCTGGCCATCAGTGTAACACAGACACTATGTCAGTGTCTCCAGAGCTGTGCTCCTGGTCCTACCTGCTAGACAGCAGCAAACAGCTCACCAAGAAAACAAGCCAAATGGAGGCAGAGAAAAAAGACATACAGGTAACTACACAGGCTAGATCCTCAACTGGACTGAATGTTTGCACTGCCCCCCAAATCAGCATCAGCAGAGTAATGACAGATTATATAAGATAAGGTCTTATGGATATATCAGGAGATCTGAGTGGCTTGCTCACTGGTGGACTGCTTAACAAACATCATTGACACATCCTCTTGTCCTGGCCTTGGAAAGGTCTGTGGAAGGCTGATTGTCCACACTGTGAAATTAGGAGATTACAAAGAAATGTATGCCATACATGTCCCTTTACCCATCACAACAGACAAACCCAGCTCTGGGACACATAATATGCTCCAAGTCAAATTCTATCTTTTGTAACTGTACAGCCTCAGTTCAACACTGAATTCAGACAATGGATCTTACAATCAGCCTAGTGTCATCAGGTTTTGTATCATAACAGTCTCATCTCTGTCTGATACCTGAGCTCAAGGATGAATTTTTCTTTCTTTTATTCCTTCAGATTGAGTCAACTAACACAAACCCACCTGACACTGTTTGTACTCTGGGGAGTACACGTGCTCCTCATGCAGAATCCTGTTTTACCTGTTCAAGACCAGCTTGCAGATGGCTGTTCACCTTGGCATCACCTAGAAAAGTTTCCTGTGCCTGGTCCTACTAGTGCTGGGAGTGCACACAAGCCACTTTCTCCCTGAATGAACAGCAAAAGACCAGGCAAAAGATGTGAGGCACTGAAGGTGACCAGAAAGTGTCTGCTTTGTGGAAATTCTCTCTATACACACACAGACATATATATATGTGTGTATATATATATAACTTTCCTCCCAGATTTTTGACATTGCACAAAACAACCATCAAATATTTGCATCAGAGGTGTCTGATCTGTGCATCTGTTAGGATCAAGACATTAGTTGCATTTTTAAATTTATTTTCCTTTTCCTGGGCAAGGATCTTATTTTCTACTCTCAGTTAATGCCAGAATTTTCAAGTCATGAGGAACTGGGACTATCCCTCATGGGCAGATAAGTAACCAAAAGCAGTTATCTTCTTCCAAGCCTGTAATCTATGTTGAGATTTGTAGTAAGTAGCAAATTCAGATAAGACAAAGAATTTGGAATCACTCTTTACCCGAACAAGGGAACCACTTTAAAACTTAAGAGCTTTCTCCATAGCTGTATTTTTTCTTCTCCTTCGCAAGTTGCAATGCCATTTTCAAATTATATTAGTGCATTCTGACTAAAGCAGTCATAATGAATCAGACATTAATGCAGTTCATTTATGAATGGCTGGGATATTGGCATCAGAAATTTTAACTTATAACATAGATATTTTTTAAAAAACAGCATGCGGAGACAGGTCACATAAGACAACTCACCTTCTGATTGTATCTTTCCTCTGAAAAACTTTTCTTTTTTTTTCTTTAGAATAGTCATCTTATAGCTCATAAATTCCAGGCAGCTGGGTCAGCAAAAAGGACATTTCCCAGAAGTAGAAGGAAGTAGAAGTAACAAAGTGGAGTCAGTTTTGTTTAAGTGTTTCCTGTAATGCTTTGGGAACAGTCT